TTAGAGATCAGATTGCGAAAGCCAAAGCAGCAAAGCGAGCGGCAGCAACCGCAAGTGCCGCGAGTAACCACGACGAAGTACCTGTAGTTCCTACGGCGACTTTTGATTTCGGCCTCTCGGATGACCCCTTTAATCAACGTATTGATCCAAACGCCAGTAAAGGCCTCCTCCGCAAACGAATTTCTGCTGCACGTACCGATGGTCGCCTCAATATCGCTGCCATGGGCCTCAAGGAAATGCCTGAGGAGGTCATGTCTATGTACAACCTTGATGCACTTGGTGATCAGGGTGGATCGTGGGCTGAAGCTGTCGATTTGACCAGATTTATCGCCGCTGACAATGAGTTTGAAAACCTTGGTGACAACATTTTTCCGGATATCGACCCACGTGAAGCCATGGAAGATGATGAATTTGAAGGCAACATTTTTGGTGGCCTTGAGACATTGGATCTGCATGGAAATCTGTTGAAAGAGATTCCTCTGGGTCTACGTAGACTTGAGAATCTGACATCTTTGAATCTGGTAAGTTGACTAGCTAATATTTGATGTGCTAGGATGATCAATTGCTAATTATCAATAGTCAAACAACAAATTAGGTAACGAATGCCTCCCAATCGTTACACAAATCAATTCTTTGCGGGAACTCAAAATAGCAAACAATGGTCTCTGTGGGACTTTAAGTCCAGATATAGAATGTTTGAAAAATCTCGAAGTTCTAGAAATACAACATAACGCTCTTGATACATTTCCGGACACTCTATCACAACTAGATCGATTGAGAATTTTGAATATCACCGAGAACAGATTTCAATCATTACCTTTTGATATTCTTAGCCATCTACCCCTCATTGAGCTCATAGCTGTCAAGAACGGCCTCGTTGGCATTCTCGTAACAGGAGCCGTGAAAAGCCTTCCACAACTTCAAGTTCTGGATGTCACGAGTAATGCAATTACTGCTCTGTGCGAATCAGAGCTCGAGTTACCTTCACTTCATCAGCTGAGCTGTTCCTCAAACCGCATTGCAACTTTTCCAGATTTGACTTCCTGGGTATCTTTACGAACACTTACAGCCGAGGATAATAATCTTTCTGAGCTGCCAGCCGGATTTGTCGATCTCCTCAAGATCAAAAATGTCAATTTTAGCGGCAATAACATCAAAGTTCTGGATGATAGAATCGGTCGAATGGAAAGTCTTGACATCTTTCGAATAAGTGGAAATCCACTCAGAGAAAGAAAGTTCTCAGCAATGTCAACCGAAGACCTGAAAAATGCTCTACGAGCCCGAATTACACCAACTGAGCAAGAGAAAGACGGGTTCTTGTCTGAGCCAAGTACCCCAACCATCTCCAGTCGACCGTCGTCTTCTCATTGGCCCGTCAAAGATGGAGGAATTCTCGATCGATCTAGCACGACTTCTCACTCCCTCAATCCAGTGATAGCTGCAGAAGTGGCTGCACGGGATACAATCAGAGTTCTGCACTTGCAACATAATCAATTCAAAGAAATACCCAGCTCTATTGCTTTCTTTGCATCTACTCTCACCTCCTTGAGTATCGCTCATAATGAATTGACGAGCGACACGTTCCTAAAGGATGATTTAGACCTACCGGCTTTGAAGGAGTTGAACCTTAGCTCCAACACCTTCAACTCTCTACAACCACTCATACAGCATCTGAAAGCCCCCAACTTAGAGAAACTTGATATCAGTTTCAATCGTCTAACTTCGTTACCTGTTCTGAAGCCTCATTTCCCTAGCCTGATATTCCTCATGGCATCGAACAATACGATCCGCGAATTGCTGCCGGAAGCAGTTCAGGGCTTGAGACATTTGGACTGCAGCAGCAATGAAATAAATAGTTTAAACTCGCGAATTGGGCTTATGGGTGGACCAGATGGACTGCAGACTTTGGATGTCAGTGGAAATCGATTTCGTGTGCCAAAATACACGATATTAGAGAAAGGTACAGAGGCTACACTGGCATGGTTGAGAGATAGGATACCCTCTGCGGGCATGCCTTCAGAGGAAACTAGTCCGACAGATGTCGATTAGAATGTGATTCTTTGTATTAACTTGAATTATCAAGGTACTTAGATGGGCGTTGAATGATACTGAGTGGGAGGAGTAATATTCCCTTGTGGATGGGGAATTGGTTATCATATATCGTATAGTTTTGTAATCAAGATTGTCCTATGGACTATATGTAATATTTCAAAGCCTTTCAAATAACCTAATCATCCCAAAATCATGTTCATGGCTACATCTGAAAAACAACCTACGAGAAAGATAATAATAAAAAAAGGGAAAGGATTCTCGAGAAGCGACACGTGACACCGTCGAGTTTTGGGCTCTAATCCAATCGCGACCGACTGACGAACTCCAGCTGTCCTCAAATCAACCCAATCCCGAGAAGAAAGCAAAACCACAACTTTCCTTACGAACCACACTCCTTTGCCCACCCTTGAGAATCTGCCAACTCATACACGCATCACACACACCGAAACCCTAACCTTATAAAACACATCAACCCCGAACCTGAGCAATCGCACACGGAATCGCAAAGATGACGCGCGCACAGCAAACTATCTCTATTGGCTTACTCGTCACTTCGGTATGTTTTCTGCCTCTGATTGTGTGAATTGGTCATCATGTGTTGGAACTATTCTGTGCAAATTTGCAAACACGTCGTAGGATGTTACGGCAGATTCGGGGGGCGAGATTGGAATTGGAAAGAGAAACGGGCGAATGATTACTGATTCGAGGCATTTACTTAGTTATACCTGGCAGTTTACTTGGAGTTAATACCTCTTCCTGGAAAGGTTTCTGAGGAGGTTATTCCTGTGGTACGTTATGTTTGTGTTATTATTTTTTCTACATCCTTCACCTCTTCTCTCCTCTCTTCTTTCCCTTGATGAGCATGCACCGAGGGAACGGATATGGCTCCTTGTACCATACCCATAACATCTCTTCCCGCTCACGATGTCGAACTTCCTCTTCCTGAGAACTGGGAGAAGGTTCCTCTCTCCCCTCTCATAGGTGATTGGACATACGAGTCCTTTCCCTTCCCCCCGCCCGCTTCTCCCTCCTCGACTTTGTTTTCCCGTCGTGATGGCTCGATCAAATCGATAGCCACAATATCGATCGTCGCCCACATCAAGAATATTATCGCTGACTTGGTATTGTTCTTGCGCAAATAGTTGCCATTCTGGGTGTTGGTTTCGTTTGGAGCGTATCTTTTGGGGAAGTTGGGCTATGGCGTTTTTACGTTTAACGATGTGCCAAAGGCGCATGCGGAATTGATGGAGGAGATTGAGTTGGCGAGGAAGGATCTCAGAACGAAAGGTGTGGATGTCGATTAGATGGTGAAGGACGACGCATTTCAGGCAAGGAGAGGCAGCGCGAATGGATATTGAGTGTCGTATTGGCAGCGGGTCGGAGTCGGAAGGTTGAATGGAAGGAATAAATTTGTCGCATAATTGAAGGGATATTCTTTACATTGGCGTGCTATTCGTTAAGGTGCCGAGGGACAAGTGAAGAGTGTGTTCTACAAGACCAATCCGTGATTGAGTAGATCTATCTACAGTATGTGATATACAGACACAATGAGATCTACCGCATTCCCTTGTGCCTCTACGCCGTGAGCGCCCGGTTCTTAATATTTTGTACTCCAGAGAAGGATCTCTATTTGCTTCGGGTGTACGAATATTCTTCTGGTACTTCCTGCTCTTGTTCTTCTACCTCCCCTTCTCCAATTTTCCATTACCCCGTCGTGCCTTCTCTAAGATGCTTTTCCTTCAACTTCTTTTCCTGCGCCATAAAAGCTCTTATGCCAACCGGCACTCCCTCGAATAAATTATCGGTATCTCCCTCCCCTCCTATGTCCCAGTTTCCCTCACTCCCACCACCATCATCATCCATACTCGTAGCCGCCTGTGCCAAAACCCCCGTACTTTCTTTCCTCTTTTCTTTCTTCAACGCTCTATCCGCATCTTTCTTAGCAGCCGCCCACTCCTCTATTTCATCTCGATAGCGATCCCAAACACAATTCACACACCCACTCATACAACAATTATCTGGTTCTTCTGGGCGCGGCGGGACGAGTACTCCTGCTATACGTTGACTTTTGCGCAGGATCTCGGAGCGTCGTTCTAAAGGGGAGGATAGACGAGAGGAGAAGAGAATCGCAGGTTCGGGGTCTGCGGCGGGTTCTGTAGGAGGAGAAGACGGGGTTATAGGCGGATTTGAGGGGGGTGCAGTAGTGGGGGGCGCGGAGGATATTTCTGGAGAAGGAGAGGAGAGGAGTAAGGAATAGTAGTCGCCTACAGGGTGAGCTTGGTGGGCTGGCTTATTGGACGTAGATTCGTGGCGTGGAAAGGAGGGGAGCTGGCGGATTGAGGGTGGGAGTTTGAGGCGTTGTGATAGTCGGAGTAGGGTTCTTTGTTCCATGTTGTGTAGTTCGGCTGTTGTATTGAGAAATATACTCTGTAAAGTAATTTGAAGGATATATGTTATCGCAAAATCATTAGAGAGACAGTTGGATCTTCAAACAGTTGGTTGATTCTACGTAGGTGAAGAATCGGCGGCGGGCGCATTATTTATTTTTCGGGGATTGAAGCTTCGGAAAGTTTTCGAGGAACGTCATCGCTGTGAATTGGAACGGTCAGCATCCGCAGTACATAGTATTGAAACTTCACTCCACATTCAAACAGCAACATTCGTTCCAGGTTCAAAACTGTAATTGCATTCCATTATAACTATGAATGCCTTCCAAGAACTGTTATAACCTGAAAAGGTGATAAATTTTTATTAATGTTACCATTTCTGTTTAGTCATGATTGAACTCGTAGTGAAGTGGTGAATTTTATGTTTCTAGCTTATCTCGCGAAACCCCTCCCGTCGCGTCCTCCCAATACGCGATCCAAAATTAAAGTAAACATTGCTTTACAACAACATATTTTTCCCCAATTGAAACGGCAATGGGATAGCGCAAGACGCCCGCGGATATGGCAGATAACACCCCCTCACGTCGTTCGAAGACTCCAATTCCCACTGCGATTGTCCCACCAACCCCGAGTCGCATTCCCATCCCTTCACAATCGTCGCGTTATCCCTCGTTTGCCTCTCCAACGAAGGCAAGCTTAGCACGCCATAATCCGCAAATACTCGGGAGAGCCACTTCTACAGGACCGGAAGTTGGCAGATCTCCGAGTAAAGGGAGAGTACAAAATACTTTCAATAGAGCGCTGGGAAATACACCGCAACGAGAAAGAGGAAGGAGTGTTACTACTGGCGCAGAACGATCAATTTCAGGATCGACCAGAGATGATGCGATTACTCGGACACCCACGAGAGCTCGATCGATTGGAGGGGCAATGGCATCGAAACCGAGGAGAATGTCAAGATCCCCTGCCAAACGACCAATCGCTACCGAAACTCCAAGGAGTAATTTCAAGCCCGCGGCAGAATTTGAGAATATTCAGGGAATTGCAAATCCATTCAAAAAGACGGGATTAAGAAGATCACCCGTACCGGGACAAAGTAGCCAGCCTACGGCAGAACCGCAAGAACAATCGCAAGATGATTTCAATCCTTTCAAGAAAACTGGGCTAAGGAGATCACCACCTGCTGCGGTGCCAGTTTTAGGAACAACTGTGCCTCAAACGTCTATAGAAATGGATGAATCTGTCTCCACTACTCCAAAAGATTCGGCACATTTACATGCCTCTACTACACCAAAGGAGCCAGTACCTGTATTCACTTCAACAACACCCAAAGAACCGACACCTGTATATGCTTCAACTACACCGAAAGATCCAGTACCCGTTCAAGCTTTAGAGCCTTATCTTAGGGCTCCAGAGGAAGTGGTCATTAGGAGCCGAGGTTCAAGTCAACTCCGTTCTTCTCAAGCTTTTGGGTCTATTAGTGTTCCAGGTACACAAGTTGCACAATCAGCTGAATCTGCTCTGCCTGCGAGCCCCGCCGAACCCTCCCGGGCTTCAGAAGAGGAAGAGGTTGTGCCTGACTCGCAAATCGCAGATCAGGTTGTTTCTACGACTCCAAATGATCCTGTACCACCTCAACCACGGACCTTACAAACAAATGACCCTTTTGTAATTGATGTGCCGCAACAACAGGAACTAGAGGACGAACCTCAAGTTACCGAGCTTCCAAAGTCCGATGATGTAAATCCGTTGATGAGTGATGACTCTCCCACCGAGCGTAAAGCTCGGCAATTATCTATGTCTAGGCCAGCACAACGGCCACTGTTCACATTTTCGGAAAAGACATTTCTGTCTCCATCTAAAGCAAGGCAGAAACCAGCAACACCAGAAGAGTCTGACTTGCCACCGACACCCACGCAGCGTGGTATTGCAGACCCAGTCGTCACAACACCACCAGTTGGAATTCACAATACCCCAAGCAAGACTGCCAGAAGAAACAAGGCACTAGGCGCAAAGATGAAGTCATCTCCATTAAAACCACGTGCAGAACCTCCGCCAGAAGTAGACACATCACAAGAACCACCCGCTAAGAGACGAAAGTCGGCTAGATTTTTGATTCCGCATGATCCACATGCAGCGAAGAAGAAAGTTAGAGACGATCTTCTCAAAGAATTACAGCAATTGCAAGCCGATGTCAGTTTAGCGAATCAGGAGAATGAGAGGATACGTCTGCACCACGAGTCAAAAAGTACAAAACCGCCAAGAGCATCAAACTCTGAAGAGATACTAGATTTACTCTTACGCTCAACTGCAATTGAGAAAGAAGACAGGCCAGAAAATGTCAGCGCTCTAAAAGCCACTAATCTTTTCTTGCCATTTGCTGGACGGCGTAAAGCCCGACAAGCAGTTATACCACCAATTCAGAAGCCTCTTCCATCCCATCTTCCTATAGTACTTGACGATCCACTCCCGCATTTGCAACTATTCAGTCATCTGACATACACATCGAATATCACTCTTCTTCCAGCTGCGCCCATTTCGTCCAACGAATCTACTACGGAACTCCTCGTACCAACCTTACAACACCATCAAATTTCCGCATCCCATCCTTCTGGACTTTTCAGCGCACGCCTTTCTATGATAGTCGATACCTCTTCTCTGACCATATCCTCGCTTAATGTGGATTCATTGGATCCTAACGCGGAGCCTGAACTCGGACCATTTGTCCGACGACGAGCAAGTGGTGATGGGCCGCACGCAAAAGATATTGGTACAGTGTGCTGGGCGATGGGGAGGTGGACCGAAGTATCCGTAGCGAGAGCAAAGTTTTGGTGTGATACTGAAAGAGAATTTGGGACAGCGGAAGCCAGGAGGAAAAGTATAGAAAAGCAAGGGAAAAAAAGAAGGAAGAGAAAGGCTATTGAAGATGACGAGGTGGCTGAAGGGGAGGGAGAAGAAAACTCCAGAAAATGGACGAGAAGGGAGTTGTTTCGACAGATGGGACGGACGAATATTGTTCTTGATGGGGATGATGTCCAGATTCGAGTGGGGTGGAAGATTGGTTTTGACTGGATCGGTGATGTAGAGAGTCATCTGGATCTTGATATAGGCTTGCCAAATAGCTGTAAGTACCAGTCTTCCTGGCATCTCATCGGTGATTTTGTGATACTAACACTCGTGTAGGGCATAAACAAGACGATCGTAAGAGTTTGAGTAAGATTAAAGATATGTTCGGAAAGCTAGTCAAGGAAAAGGGGCCATTGGGAGCTCTGAGAATCACTGTAGGACTTATCATGGCAGATTCTTCGTGATGGATTAGGAACTGAAATTAATATTATATGATACCCTACTGATCCTGATCTACTTATTGATGAGTAATAATTTTCGGCTGATAACTTGGAGGGCTACGCGAAAGTCTAGATGGGATGTTTATTATCAATTTGACAGAGATGCTGGAACGATGTTTTAGAATTTTTATCTACTCAAGCCGGTATCATCACTTGAAGATTCTCGATCAACTACTGAGCTTGTTTTTTTTTAGCCCTAACAGATCGAATATACAAGTGTGTGCACACTGAGCAGATTGGTCAAGAATACTTCAACGAAGTTTGATTAGCAGTCGGAAACAAAATTCCGTTCCAAGATGGGTGAACATTGTTTACTCGTAATGAGGGCTTTTACCTAGCAATATATATGATTTCGTTGGATATTTTTTAATACCACAGCATTTTGGTGTTATATTTTTTGTGTAGTGAAAATTTGAGTTATGCTAAATACTATGTTTTATTGAATCATAATTTTGAACATGTATTTATTCTAATCTATACATATATTATAACTTGAAGCTCTCTTAAAGGACCAACTGACTTTGTGTATTGATTTGATTTGAGTTTATAACTGCCACTTCTAACACCCCCTAACCCAGTGTAACACTCGCTTCCATATTCAATCACAAAGCTAAGAGAATCCTATGATTTTCCTAGGTCGATATAACTCATCAATGCTCGCTACCTCTTCCTTGGTCAACTCAAAATTAACGGCATCGACCGCCTCTTGAACTCTCTCAATCTTTCCCATTCCAACGATGGGCGCGGTAACATACTCCTTGCTCAAGCTCCAAGCCATGGCCACAATCGCCATACTGACACCCCTCTTCTTCGCAATCTCCTGAATCTTCTCATTAATCTTCAAGTCCGCCTCCGTAAATTCATTCCCCATGAACTTCCCACTCATAGCTTTTCCCCTGTTGCTTTCTGCAGCCTGATCATGAGGCCTGGCTAGATACCCCATCATAATCGGACTCCAAGGAATCATACCCATACCAAATTTCTTCAAACTCGGCACCATCTCCCTCTCTTCCTCCCTATAAGCTGCATTATGCAAATTCTGCATACTGATAAATTCCGTCCATCCGTTGAGTCGTGCCGTATACTGCATTTCCAACAACTGATGCGCATACATACTAGACGCACCAATATATCTAACCTTGCCACTTTCAACCACATCATGCAAGGCCTTCATCGTCTCCTTTATTGGCGTGCGTGCGTCAAATCGATGAATTTGTAGTAGATCAATATACTCCAGATCCAAGCGTTTCAAACTCGCATCTACGCTATCGAAGATATGTTTGCGACTCAACCCATACGCATTGACGTATCCGTTTGCATCTCTATCCTCAGGTGTCATCTGAAGTGGAGTTTCCCATCCCTCTTCCTTTCTCTTGCCAACCGGCGCCCACAATTTCGTGGCAACAACGATGTTCTCACGAGGCAATGCATACTTCTTGATGGCGGCACCGAGAATCTCTTCGGATGTGCCGTTGCTGTAGACGTCTGCGGTATCGAAAAAGTTGATACCGGAATCATAGCAGGCTTTGAGGATGGGGAGAGCCTCGGCTTCTTCGACAGCCCACGTTTTGAAGCTTCCGCGACGATCGCCATAGGTCATGCAACCTACGCAGATACGGGAGACTCTGAGGCCAGATTCACCAAGGTTGGTGTATTTCATTAAGTTCTTGGCCATGTTGGAAAAGGAGTTCTTTTGCTTGCTGCAGCGATGTAGAATGAAGTACTCTTTGTAGATGGAAACTAATGCCTTTATATACACTTGTGAAGTAGGCAAGAGAACTTGACGTCACCCGGAGTTTAGACTTAAGTCCTGGCTTTGTTATTTAGTTTGCGATTAACAATCAAAGACTCCAGTTGTATGCAGGCTGGCGGGGTAAGGATTCCCCACGCATTGTCAACTAGATATAAAAAAAACGCATTGGAAGACCGTTTTGACTACCAGGTTTGACATGAAGAACCGCCGTTTATCACGAGGCTTGATTTTAACGCATCATTTTAGCCTGCATATCTCAGGTACCCCACCAATGCGAATGTCCAATTCCAGTAGATCAAAGAAAGATACAGGCACAAGTATGGAGTTTGGTTATAATACCTTTAGGGCCGAGGATGAATAGAGTGACAGGATATATTCTCATGTAACACAACATTCCATTAACAAGAGAATAAGGAGATCAGTCCTATTCATCCCGCCGTCTAGTAATGTACGGCGGCAAAATACAGAGTAAGCATGTGTCCGACAGAATCAAACAGCAAATATGGTAGTAAGGTTGCCCAGTAAGAAAGATGAAACTCGCAGAATATAATTTTCCAGCGTAAATTTTGCTCAATTATATTGTGATTGCACCAAGAATGAAGGTATTCTGACCGAAAGATGATATCAAAAATTACGCCACCCGTATAGCACCTAGTAAACTCCACGCATTTCATTCAATCTTTGCCCGCTAAGTCAGCGATAGTCCCTAGTTTCTTTCCAACCTGAGTAGCTGCTCCAGCTCTTCCACTGGGTGTTTTTGCTGCCGGTGCAGCAGGGACCTTGTGGATATTGAATGGTGAGTTCTCTGCTGCGGTGTATGCATCAAATGAGAACAGGGAGTAGAGGTAGAGCCCGAAAAATGCAATAATATCGTGGAGTAGCCTATCAAAGCTAAATTGTCTTGCCATCGTGGAGCGCGTAGGGGCAGATCCGCCCAGTGTTTGTCCTGGGCTGGAGAAGGATGGCTTTGGTGCACCGGCTAGTTTCACAGCATTCTCGATGGCGGTCGTGAGCTTACGAACATCTGCGCCTTGAATAGTTTCGATGACAGCGCCGGACCGAAAGATGAGGAAGGTTGGCATGCTAGTAGGGTTGTGAGAACGAGCTCTAGTAAGTATCGAAGGGTCTTGCTTACGCTCTAACTCCATATCGCTGAGCTATGGACTGCTGATTATCTACATTGACTTTCGTAAATGTAACACGATTTGGCTTCGAGTGCTTGGTAGCTAAAGATTCATAGGTTGGGGCGATGGCTTTGCAGGGTCCGCACCAGTCCGCATAAACTGTATGTATTGTTAGTGATATGCATCTATTGCATTGGGGGAAGTCGAATTACAATCGGAAACAACTATAGTTGATGAGCCTAGCAATTTGCTAAACTGCATAGACGATTCGATATGTACCGCCATTTTTATTATAATAATATCTTGCAAGTTCTGAAATGTCGAGTAAGTTGGGTCGTCGGAATGTTTGTCTGGTTGCTTGCTTACGGATTGAGCTTATGAAAGCTTCAAGTGGAGATCTGGTCTGGTGTGGTTCTTTATCGGGGCGCATGGATTATCAGATTCTGCCGCTTTATCGGGATAAACTTTGACCGCCTCCATATATATTTTGGAAAGAAATCCAAAGTTTCCAAATTACTTACAAAAATGGGTAGAGGAGAGACGAACGCAAAGGTATGTTTTCTTTGACATCACTAACTGGTCAATGGATACTTACGTATTTGATTATAGAAGCGGAAACGCCAGGCCGAAGCCAATGCCACTGGGAATGCCGATTCCACTGCCAATGGACAAACTTCCAACGGGAAAGTGACCGCTCCTGATGCGGTTGATACTTCTAAACCTACAGCTGTATTTCAACCCAAGAAAGGTCGAGATTGGACAGTTAGTGTAGCTCTACCGGGAAGTATCATTGCCAAGTATTATACCTTCGCAAATAACAATGACAAAATCATGCTGACTTTTTCAGCGCTCAAAGCCATGATCTCAAAACATCTATGGCGGGTCAAATTGCCCGCGCCCTCGCAGTTTTCTGCGTCGACGAAGTCATTGTTTTTGACGATGGCAATGCTCGTCCTGCGAAAAAGCCTAAACATCCAGCCACTCAATCCCATAGTTCTCAGCAGAAGCCGCCTCTGGAAGACGAGTACACGGCAAAATCAGATCCCGATCATTTTCTTACCCATCTACTCAGCTTTCTAGAGACACCTCCAAATTTACGAAAGCATCTATTTCCAATTCATGAGAACTTAAGAACAGCAGGCGCATTGCCTAGTATAGATTTACCACATCACTTGAGGGCAGACGAGTGGTGTATGTATAGGGAGGGTACTACATTACCTGGCGCAGATGAACATGGAACGTTTGTGGAAGCAGGACTAAGAATACCAGTCACAGTGGTGGAGCAGATACCAGCAAATAACAGAGTCACTCTGAAATTTGACGCGGAATGGGAGAAGGCCGCAAAAGATAAATCTTGTGATATTATCACAGCAGAAGCTGTGAGTCCAGAAGAGCCAAGAGAAGAGGGTGGATACTATTGGGGATGGAATGTTAGGAGAGCCGGATGTCTAAGCGACGTGTTCACAGAATGTGGATACGATGGAGGCTATGATATGACTATTGCAACCTCTGAGCGAGGCGTTGATGTCCAAGATCTATATGATGATGAGGAACAGAAGGTAGGGAAGTTCAAGCACCTACTAGTCGTATTTGGCGGCGTTGCAGGCCTAGAAGTGGCTGTGAAGAATGACGGAGAACTACAGAAATTGGGTGTTGTGGAGGCAAAGGATGTCTTCGACAGATGGATAAATGTGTGTCCTGGTCAGGGAAGTCGAACTATTAGAACCGAGGAAGCTGTTTGGATAGGCCTGATGGGCTTGAGACGATTAGTTGTCAACAACGAATAAAGTGTAATTCAATACCCAAGGCTTCTGTTCACGGCTTCAACTTCTGATCTTTGCTATCTTAAATTGCACGTTGGGCGGAATTGGAAACACTCCACGCAGAAAATTAGAGGGATCGAAATCTTGAGTCTCCATCATAGGACCACTCTACTTTTAGACAATCAGACTAGGTAAAAGTTGATTGACCTTTGTCTCTCTTTGTCCCATATTTAGAATCTCTTCGACTTGCACGAACGACCTGTGAAGCTTGTTCCCCTGCTTTGAGTACTAACAATCATCATTTATAGAAATTTCGATGCTTTGTCTCAGAGAGAAAGGGGAGATTCTTTTGACAGGGCTTTATGTCTTTGTTAGTACTTTTACTATATATGACAGCTTGTTCTAGCAACAACATTCTAGAATCCACCGAAGCAAAAGTTTCAAAATTATACATATACTTCAAAACACCGTTTTCTACGAACTATCTCAAACTACAAAAACTGCTTATCACTAAATCTACCACAATGCAACTCATCAACTACCTCCCAATTCTAGCCGTGCTCTCCCCAGCACTAGCCCTCCCAGCTCCAGCTATCATCTCCACAAATCCCAACACGCTCACCCCCATGTGCATCAAGCAACTCGACCCCAAAATGTGTATTCTCAACTGGAACACCAACACCATGGCCGTCAATAACGATCTATCCAACCCCAACAACCTCGTCGCTTACGCCCGCGCGACTGTTTACTCAAACACCTGTACCGTGATTGGAGCCATTAGAAACGGGCTCGTCCAAAACGTCTTTATCGATGCCCAGGGATGGAGCCAATCACTGGTTCTCCAAACTGTCTTCGATGAGAAGAGAGGGTTCAAGGTTCCTCGCTGGAGCTTCAATGGAAAGGCATACACGGTCGATAACTGCGCTTGTTTCGATGGTCGTTTGTTGGGTGAGCCAAAGGATACACATGTCTGTGAATGTTCATTCGAATGTGCATAGATCTAAGATACTTGGTTGAAGAGTAGGCTTCTTTTCATTTTCGCGTTTTCTTTCGGCTCTTGTATTCAACGTCTATTGTATATTTCATTTCTTTCTTTCTTTCTTTTAGTTATCTTTTGTACTTCTTTATTTGAGAAGTACACCACACTCATTTGGCTCTTAATTTTCTTTTCTTTCTTTTCTTTTTTTCTGTAAATACAAATATTGTCAGTTACTTCAGTCTATACTCTCATATTGTGACATTCTCTTGGTGAGACTTCAATTGCTTCTTTTCCCGTGAGATCTCATTGATTTTTCTTTTCTTCTATTGTTCTTCGATAACTTTTTGTTATTCTACGTTTAAACTGTAGTTATTATATAAGGACTCACGCGCACTATGCTCAAATGGAGTCAAGATCACAACTACTCCTCTCTAGCAACGACCTCTCAATCTAGTTGTTTTACAGTTGTATTCATCACAAAGATTGACGTCCATAGTAATAGTAACAGTAGCGCTTCCTATAACATTAAGTAAACAAATCATGCAGATGCATCCAACACTGAACCAACATTGCTGCTTCAAGAAATCTAATATCCAAGTGAAGCCAAACTCAACCGATCAACATTCACGCTTGAAAATGTTTTAACATTGTACGAAAAGGAAGTATGCTCCGCAACAACCGCATTCGATTGCATTGCGCAAGAGTATAGACTGCCACGATCACTTTTGAGACGAAGGATCCAAAATGTAAACTATGAGAATGATCTATCGAACGGACCCCTAAAGAGATCAATCAACGCCAAAGGTTGCAAAACCCATCATCCATTCCTCATCCCAAGAACTAGCAAGCGAGGAAGGTTCTTCTATGACTTTCATCTCATCCCAAAATAACATACCCCGACAACCCATCAAACAAACACCGTTTCTTCCATCTCGTCCATACAGATATTCCACAGCATCTTCCGCAAACTCGTGCCATTTTAGATTTGGAAAGCCGGACGGTATCAACGACTCCATCCAAAATATCCATTTATATTTATATCCCTTCAACTAACCTTCTGTGCAGCGCAACTCAGACAATTTCCACACTCATCCATCTCCCTCCCTCCCTATCTCCCTACCAAGAGTATCCCCAACAGTATCAAACCGCCACCCATCTAAATTCCCCATAGCCAGGCCTACAAATCCCAACAATTCATTTTATAACACACACCAGGATTCGCACCAAGACCCCCCCCCTATATCCAACTTCCCAGTGAAGATAACAAACCAGACGAAAATGAAATCCTCATCGAGCCCCTCCCTTGCCAGCATAATCCTTCCGATTCAGCCGGAACAGTCAACCGTGACTTCCTTTTTACCCAAGCCGTAATTATATAATTGGCGAGCTGACGCAATGCTACTGCCATAAATAGAACAAGCCACCACTTTAACATTCCGCTCTTTCCTTCCTGCATCCGCACTTCTTTTAACCCTGTGACTCCTCTCCATAGCCGCACATAAAGCGCGACTACAGTGAGAAGGGTTGTCGAAAAAGAAGAATCCAAGCCGTTGCGCGATCCTGACGTGCCCAAGAAGAGCTCGATCAAGATCGCCGACTAGATTATGATCTTGTATTTCATCCTTCTTACCTGGAAGGTTGAAAGGGAATTCCTAAAAGATTTATCAGTATATCACACTAGTAGTTAGTTTATTTAGTTGAAATCAGTATTGTTTTGGGACAGCATAAAAGAATAATAAATTTGTATTTGCGCGCAATGTAATGTATTCGTATCATGTAGAGATCGATAGCGCCTCGTCTCTTTGTCATTGAAGATCCATGGCATTTGACTTTGACTTCGTGTCGATCATCTAGGGTAAGGTCAGTGGTCAGTTGAGACAATCATCAGAACCGGTCCAACTCAAGTCTGCCAAAATAGAGAAAATAAAGGAAAGCAATGAAATCTGCGAAGCTATTTTACAAGTCAATGACCTTTCGTGCATTGAACGCCAATTGGGTATCTTGATCGACTTTATCCGTACGCCTTGATAATAAAATAACCACCTGGGCATCCCTTTGTACTGCATACTCAGCGACCTGAAAGAATGTACCGAGAAATGAACTAAGTGTTACACGGCTCTGGGCCTGAAGATTACGTGAACTCATAACTACTCATCTTCAATTGGACCAACTATTTGTTCATGTAGGTGGGCAAGGTGGTCTCTTTGGAGCTTGAAGGATTCGTAGTTCCCACCAATGATACATCGAAGAAGACTCTGATTTTGACGAGTTTTAAGGTCAGCGTGTTGCAATGTGTTCATACTCTGTTGCAAAGCAGAATAGGCAGCAGAAAAGCATTCTTGAATTGCAGGGGTGTTTTTTGAACCACCTGAGATATCATTGTCGGGTCTGTTTGGGTCGATTATAGAGAACTTCGGACTATCAAAATCTCTGTAAAGGCCGCGAGGAGCTGTAGACTAGTAATAAATTAGTATCATGACAAAATTGATAGAGAGGATGACTTACTTTCGGGAAAAGCTTAGGTGGATTGACAGAAATGGCAG